AAATATAATAGTCTTTTTCTCAATATTAAAGTGAATTTGAAATAAAATGTCAGTCTTGAATCCTAGCCATAAATAAAATAAAGTAACAAAACAGCTGGGTTATAAGAGGATCCCATTACATGATCATTGTAATTATTTCTCTGAAGATACCAGGGAAGGAAGAAAAATAACTTCTAGGACTGATTAAACGGAAAGGAAAGACATCAATTTTAGAAAAGATTCAGGATGAAATGACACCTGTGTCAATGTATATTATTTACATGGATGATAACTTTTCCTTCTATGTCACTGACATTGACATGGGCATTCAGTGTCTCCTGCGAAAGAATGAACATGGAATCTAATATTGGTTCATGTGTAGTACCTATACTTCATAAGTTATATTAAATTTAAACATCACTGGGCATTTGCTATGTGTCTCCAAATAGAATTAGCTTCTTGAAGGCAAGGAACATTATTTTTTTTTCAAATGCCTCAAGGCATAGAGTACAGGCTTCACGAGTAAGCATTTGATAAGTGCTAATGAATGGCATTCTGCTTTCTGGTCGGGATAGTCTTTTAAAAAATTTACATCAGAATGATTGTCATCACATTATGATCAACTTTCCTTTCTTTAATTAAAGGCCATGGTTTTGACTTGAATTAGAGAAAGCTGAGAATTAATTAGTAGCCCTGTTGTCTTCTCCTGAAAGGCTTCTGACTTTACCTATACTTTATCACCACACTCGCAAATAACTTTGAATGACAGCAGGACAATGTGGAGAGTGAGGAAAAGTGACAGCAGCAGAGAGAAACATAAAGCCTCACAGGGCACTAATGACTGAACATCGCAGACTCAGGGTCATGTTTGTCTTCTTCTTTCTTTCTCTTTTAAATTGTTATTATGGGAAATGTTCAAATATACACAGAAGTAAAGACAATAATATAATAAACTCCCCTGTACCCATAACCTAGCTTCAAAAATTATCAAAACAAGGCCAATCTTATTTCCTCTCTAACCCCACCCTACTATCCTTTCCAGATAATTTGAAAGCAAACCTCAGAGACCATATCATTTCATCTTTAACATTTTCAGTATGTATTCCCAAAAGGCAAGAACTACTCTTTTGGAAATTTAACCCTATGCTCCCCAAATCAACAATATCTAAACAGGACCATCTTCGACTGTGAAAGAAACCCAGCATACTACTGTAAAAATTTATTTTCGTGGTACTGTAAAAGCTTTTGGAATGCAGTTTGCAATACATGTCAAAAGTAATAAAATCCTTAATTCCCATTAATTATGTATTATGAATTTAAAGAGAGAAATTAATATTGAGGTGATCAGAGGAGAAGTCAACATGTGATTTGTGCTTTGACAGATGGTAGAATTATAACATGGAGAAATTAAAAGTGAAGGTTTTGATAAGTTCTTTTAGCTATTTATCCTGAGGAAATAAGAGGAGGAAAAAATCCTGTATGTATCAAAATGCTGATTAGGACATTATTTGTGATAGTGAAACAATATTAAATTATGGTCTAGATATGGAATAATTTATGTAACGAATAAAATTTTTATAAAACTAGAAATATGAGAAAATGTTTAAGTGAATTCATATAAAATGAATTTTATTTGCACTATTATCACAATGTATAAAGACATTTATGCATATAAACCAGTTTGGAAAGAAATAACAAAAAACAATTAAGATGGTAGATTTATGGGTGTTTTTCCTCCTGTACTTTAAAAAGTTTATATACTAGTGACTAGGACTTTAAATTTTAAAACACTTTCTTTCATCAAAACCTTCACTTTTAATTTCTCCGTGTTATAATTCTACCATCCATCAAAGCACAAATCACATGTGGATTTCTCTGTGAAGTTTCCTCTGATCACCTTGATAATAATTTCTCTCTTTAAATTCTTATAGCATTTGACAGTCAATGAACTACTGTTGTTCACAAAATGTTCTGAAAAGTTTCATTTGAATATGTGACTATTGATACATTTTCATTTTGTTAGGTGCTTCCCTTCCTGAAAAACTAACAACTGTATAAAATCACTATATAAATATTAACTTTTAGATAAAATCATCACTATATATCTTACATGCTCTTTAATCTTGAATGTTTACTTCTCAGTTCAACAAAATTGATAAGGTTAAGTCCAATAAGCATCCATCTCAAGCTAATTTTGTTGCCATTTTAATTTCCTAAGGCGTGCTGATCACTGGTAGGTATCTGCACTTCCAATTTTGTTTCCTTCTCATTTTTATGAAATAAAATGTCTAAGATTTCCAAATTTTGTTTTAGCGAGAGAACTCTCTCATCAAATAAGATTTTACCCACCCAGAGCCTGAATGTATAAAGCAAGAGAAAGCACTGCTGCTTCAGCAAAGGCTCAGGTGAAATAAGAGTCCCAGAGACCACGAGCTCCACCTGCTGACTAGCAATTCCCCAGCAGGTTGTGCCAGGGCTCTTCAGAACCTATTTCACGGACCACTTACAATAAAATATTCAAATAACAGTACGGAAGTGGATGGTAACTCTCCAAATAGAATTTTCACTAATTGGAGGAACCATCATATGATAACTCAAATTATGTAAAAGTTCAAATTTGCCATGCAAAAAGTATAATTAATTAGAGCTGGATTTAGCTACCTGCTGGTGCCACAATCTTTAAAAGTTACAAAGTCATCACTGATCATATAACGTGATAGGGGAAAGTGTATGGTCCAGAACTCCCCGCAAGTACAATACTATATATCGTTGGTAAAACAACACTGCAACTTGCCTAACAACTATGATCGTTAAGAAGGGTGATTCTAATTAATTGCAGGAGGTTTGTTTCATTGAGTGACTAATTGGGGAGTCAGAACTAAATTAAGGGCAGTAATGGAAACACTGCACATTGCCAACTATGGTTCTCCATGTGGCATTTAAGCTCTCCTTAATTATCAAGAACATATTTAAGAGTATCAGTTTGAAAAGTTATGAATTGTTAACCTTCCCTGGATGACCAAATGTCTCCATATGGTCACAGTGTCAATATGTGCTCATATTAAAGTATGGGTTGTTTAAATTTTGAATTTACACACATCAAATACCGACTGAATCTATAATTTTGTATGACATATTACTTCCAACTTGGCATTGTAGTTGTAAATCTGTCTTAACTTCCTACTACATTAGAAACTCCAAGAAAGCAGGGACCATGTCTTTTTCATCTTTACATGCTTTGTATGCTTTACAGAGCCTAGCATACCACCTTATACATACTAAAGTACTCTATTAGATAAATTGTTACTGAAGTAATAAATTACTTTCTTCATCAGGCTCTTCAAACTTCACCTGTCCAAATCATAAATCAATGGTTTTACCTTCAATCCCTACCTCTCCTTTTCCTAATTCTCTAGCACTTCTTATTTCATTTTCGGGGTGGAAATAACCTTGAGCTGTATTCAGTGCTAAAGCTCAGACATACCTGAGCAGGTATGGTGGCAGGTCTGCTCAAGATCTATTTGCATAATGAAGCCTCCCCTCTCCCCATCCTAAGGAAAAAGGAGCTAGAGAGGTAAACCTGACTCAGAAAAATAAGTCCTTTTTAGAAAAAGTTTCCCCTTTTCCATTTCCAATTCATACCTTTATGACTTACAGGATAGGTTATATTCATGTTTACTTTCTGAAAAGAAAAACATCTTCATTCCTTCATTTAATGCTTCTGAGGTTCCCCATATCCAGATTAAGAATCATGGTGCTAGAACAGATAGGGCCCAAACTAATCAGGACATCATTTAGACAAAAAGAGAATGTGCCAGATCCCACATGGATATAGACAAAGGACTTCATTTTCTCTTTATTCCCTCCCAAGAGTTTAATAGAAAATTAAAAGTTCCAGGCACACAGGAAGCCTACTCAGGGTATGCACACTGAGTAACATATTGATACAGGCTCAAACCCACATAAGCTCAGAAGAACATGCTTGTTCCTTTTTTTTCTAAATGATACTGTGAGCCAGAAGTGCAAACACAAGAATTCTCCTAACAGGTCTATCTTATTCTATGGTGTACTCTCACTATTTGTTCTTTAGAACTTTTGTAAAATGGCATTATCTTCTTTCTGACACTAACTCCAGCTTATCTTAATAATGGCCAAGCACAATATAGATCATTCTAAATAATTTATGAACTTTGCAAATGGAGAATCCCAGAGATAGTCATAAATGCACTATCCCCTTTACAGTGTCCACTTTTCTCCAAATAAAATATTAATCCAGTCTTGAATATATACTCTTATCACAAATAATTTTTTAAAAGATTCTAATGTTATATGTATGTTGCCTTTGGATGTTCCTTAGATTTAGAAAACAATTTGCCTGTAAAGAGATACAAAGTGATTTGAGTATTTTAAGATAACCAAGTATATAAACATAAAACTTTATATTAATAGCCCTGCAAACTCAGAGATATTAATATTCTACTGCCCCTGACTACAAATTTAACTCCAAATATTAGAGAAATCAATCTGGTAGGTATATTCAATGTGGTGACTAAGGGTTGGAAAAATTAAGGAGTACCACTAATCAAGAGCTAACCATTGCAAACTTGGATCTGTTTCGCACTGATAACCAAGAGCTAACCATTTTAATTTGGGGTCTGTTTTGAAAAAAAGTTATTAAATATTACCTGGAAATAAGTATGTTTATTAATAACCAGATGCTTGATAAACATGAATATTTTCTATCTAGGATTTCTTACCACCACAAAATCAAATGCCTTAAATTTATGTATCATTGGGTTGTATTCTGTTAACCCACATTTTCTATACACTGATTCCAGGTTCATAAAAATAATTGTTTAAGTACCTGTTGAGTTTTCTGAGAAATTCCTTAGATAGCATATTTGTTAGTCTGCTAGGCATCAAGTAAAAGACTGCCTAATCAGATCCTTGCAGTAACAGATATTCTTCAAGACTTTTAGTGAAGATTTACTATTTTATTTTTCAGAGATCATATTTGAAATATGGCTCAAAGTGACTTCCTTTACCCAGAGAACCCGAGGAGGCGGCAGGAAGTAAACCGTCTTCACCAGCAGCTCCTCGACTGCTTATCTGACAGTTTCCATGCCACCAATAAGCTGACTGGGGTCCTGAACATGCACTTGGGGTGCAGCCTGGCCTCCATTGAGATGAAAAGAGATGGGACCATCAAAGAAAACTGTGATATCATCATCCAAGCCATAATGAAAATCCAGAAGGAATTGCAAAAGGTTGATGAAGCACTAAAAGATAAACTGGAACCAACCCTTTATCGAAAACTTCAGGATATTAAAGAAAGGGAAACAGAGAAAATTGCAATAGTACAAAAGGTTATTTCCATAATCCTGGGAGAAGCTACATCTGCAGCCAGTGCAGTGGCTGTTAAACTTGTGGGCTCAAATGTCACAGCTGGCATAATCAACAAGTTGGTTACCGTGTTAGCTCAAATTGGTGCTTCTCTCCTTGGTAGTATTGGAGTTGCTGTTCTTGGCCTTGGCATAGACATGATCTTCCGTGCCATCCTGGGGGCAGTAGAGAAAACACAGCTTGAAGCAGCCATCAAAAGTTATGAGAAGCATCTGGTGGAGTTCAAGTCAGCCTCAGAGAAATATCACGATGCCATTACCGAGGTCACCAATACAGTGAAACGCCAAACGAAATGAACAGCCACTTTATTTGCCACCAAGATATTTTTTGGCTTCCCTCTCAGTAACAGTGTTTGCTTCTAGGATTAAGTTCATTTTCCATCCATTTCCAGTATGGACATAAATACTGTAAACAATTTGGAAGGGGAATTGGAAGTGCTAAAACTAGATGAGTCTTGAGATTTGATCAACGATGAATGCTTGAATCAGTTGGTGCTAGACCCTGTGAGTAAAAGATTATATGCTAGAATGTTTTCTCACCCTGCCCTACCAGATCAACATTAAAATAAATGCTATTCAACAGTAGCAGGTGCAGGGATTACCTTTTCCCTTTCTAATTTCCAGTCAAAATCCTTAAAATTTACATTGAATGCAAAGAACTTCATTTCTACCACTATTTTCAAACATCATTTAGTTCAAAATTCTAAACATCATTTAGTAACTTCTGCCTAGATACAAACCCTGGGCCTTCGACTGGAGTAGAGATACTACCATATTTTTGACCATCAGATGAAATCCAGTTTTCTGTAAACTGGAAGAGACTGAAAAATGGTTTGTAACAATTTCCTTCAATGATTAAAGGAAGCAATGGATCTGTAAACTTCTACTAATTACACAATTTAATCTGAGTGAATTAAAAAAAAGATAAACGTTAACATTAAAAAGATAAAGTTCTGTTTCTATAATTGCAATCAACACTGACCAACTGTGATGATTAAATATCACTAAAGTGAATGTCTGAACACTCTGGAACATTTAAAAAACAAGCAAGCAAGCCCCAGCGATACGTGCATAAAATGCATTTAGAATGCAGAAGTCATTACTGTAAGAATTTGTCATTTAATGGAAAGTCATAATTTATTACATTATGAATTTTCAGAAAAAAAGGGAATATAATTTCATTTTCAATACTAGTAGAAAAAAGGTGGCTGCCGTTGCTTCATAAAGCATTCGGTGGCCCATTTCACTAATTATCTGATTTCAGAAAAATCCAGAGGTTATGTAGGCCTAATGGTTCAGCTGAATCTGCAGATGTGTTTGTTTTCTAAATCCTTCATCAATAAATAATTTCCATTGCGAGTCTTTTAAGGTCTACTTACAACATTACTAACATGCTGTTGATGGGAGAATGTGTTTGTTATAGTTGATTCTTGCATCCAAGTACAAGAAACATCTTGAAATAGGAAATGCTCAGCATACCTCAAAATTTTAATTAGCTAGATGAAAGACTTTAATTTTTCAAACATATTCTCACTGCTTGTTTAAATTAGTTGTTAAATTAGTTGTAAAACATCATAATATAGTTCACCTTCAAAATCAAATCTTATTTTTTATTGTCTCTCAGCATACCTCAAAATTTTAATTAGCTAGATGAAAGACTTTAATTTTTCAAACATATTCTCACTGCTTGTTTAAATTAGTTGTTAAACATCATAAGTTGTAAAACATCATCATTAGTTGTAAAACATCATAATATAGTTCACCTTCAAAATCAAATCTTATTTTTTATTGTCTGGTTTATAAGCTTTAACCTACACGATCTTACTATTGCTCTGAGACTGAAATTCAGCCTAAAATCAAATCAAGAACTTACTAAGACAAACGTTAGTTTAGGTATGGGACCGACCTTACACCATTAGAGTCACATTTAAATATTCTACTAAAAATTATTAAGTATCTCCGCTAATATTTTTAAATATTAATAATTGATAGTAAGAACTGGCCTATTCCTAACTTATTTTCCTATAAGAGCTACTCAGATTAAGATCAGAAATAACCAAGCGTGTCCTTTAAGACAGAATTTTGAAAATTTTAAAACTTAAAATTTTTAAGATTTTTTAATTTAAAAATTTTTATATTAAATTTTTAATTTTTAAGTTTTTAAAACTTTAAAAATTTTTATTTTTAAGGGAAAAGATGGGGGAGGAATCTTCAGGAAAGAAGGGATAAAAGGGAAGGATAGAACGAAGACTAGAGATAAGTGAATAATCCCGTAAGTATAGCGACATCAGAAGACTTTTGGCTGGTGAAATGACCAGTTGAGAATAGAGCCAATATAGATGAACCTCACCGCTAGTAAATTTAAAACTGACTGCATATGTATCCCTACATTTCCTCCTCAAAAATCTACTCCTGTAGATTAGTAATTCGGGACCCTAACAGGGGCACTGATTTATCCGATCAGGTCTACAAATGTTCTGTGTGTCTATGACCTACTCTTAAATTTCCAGATGCACCAGACGCCCTACAGGGTATAGAGGCTTGCAAAGCGCATTAAACACAGTGGCAAGTGTTATTAGGGGACTTGTTTTCAAACGGAGACACTCACAAAGGATCACGCCCGCTTACGTCGTAAGAAACATGAAAATCCAAAAACTAACACAAGCCCAGGAGACAGAAACAACGAAAACCGGTATTCGTCTCTGGCGACTCAACAAACGCAGCTCCCGGAAATTAGGTCAGAATGCCTCCGGCCCGACAGACAGGTCAGTTAGCCAATCACATATCAGCTTCCTTTTTCTTATTCCTATTGGGCGAGATAAGTGTCAATCGACATGAGTCATTATTACGTAATAAGGCGGGCTCTTAGCTGAGAACCAACCAATTGGGTATCGTATGGGAGCGGAAGAGACTCTGGTCCTAGAGTTCTTGGGTACACTGTTGTTCCAGAACAGAGCAACGCTAAGCAATCGTCGGCAGGGGAGGGGGCGGGCAGGGAGAATAGGAAGTGACGTAAAGATGGCGAGGGGCGCGAGGTTTCAAGATGGCGGTGGCTTGGTGGTTGACCGAAAGGTAGAGGTGAAGGCCCCTACAAAGTAAAAGAGGCCGGGAATCGTCCCTTCCCCGCTTCTCGCAGTCTTGGGAGCCCAGCAGAAGTGTGAGTGTACAAGGTTGCTTTACTCCTCTTCTTCATCTCTCCCCTCCCTTTCCGGGTTGCCTGCGCGGTTGCCTCGGGGGACACCAGGCCCCTTTGCCCCGCTCTTCCTCTCCCGATTGGGGTTTCCCTGCTCGCGGATTAGGGGATCCCTGGGCGTCCGGCGGCTACGCAGCTGACTTCTCCCAGGTCGGTTAGCGCCGCTTCCTATGTACGTCGACCGGTTGCCTTAGGTTTGACGTCTTGTACCTCGAGTCAGGATCAACCGTCGCTATGGTTTCGACAGTTGCTGCTGCTTGTCCTCCTTTTGGTGACCTGGACCCCATCCCATTGTAGCCTCTTTAGTTATTTAGAGTTCGTTACGGTTTTTTGGCGTGATTTCCCGATCGCCTCTGCTTTTAGACAAAGTAGTTTGTGTAGAGTGAGACTCCAGTGTCTTCTGTAAAAATTTCTGTAATTCGTATCTGTTCTCTGTTTTAGTTGTTTGGGGAGGGAAGGGTGGCAAAACATGAGCCTGAGGATAATTGAGAAAGGAAAGCATAAAATATACAGGCAGTCAAAGATGTGACAGCTTGATTTTGCTTGTTCTCGCCCGTTCCTGTCTCCTACTTCCCTTCCTTTCCCTTCCCTTCCCTTCCCACCCCAGAAGGAAATACTTGACTGGGTAAAATAGTTGCCACTGGAACAGCTCTGAAACATCCAGCAGAAATCAGGGCAGTTGAACACTTGGTGAAAGAGGCATTAACTGTAATAAACTGGTCTGACAAAATCTTCATAAAAGGGAGAAGGGAAGGTATTATTGCATGGTCTACCAAAAGTTTCCGTCACGATCTTCTTTACCACCCTTTAAAAGCGTCTGCTTTCACAAGAAGCAAATTCGTGAACCTTTATTACTGGAAAGACGAAGTTTCAAAAAGTTAAACCTCATTTCTTTGGAATAAGAGGAAGAAATGATGTAGTACAGGTTGAGTGTTCCTTATCCGAAATGTTTGGAACCAGAAGTGTTTCGGATTTCGGATTTTGGAATACTTGCATATATACATAATGAGTTATCGTGGGCATGAGACCCAAGTCTAAACACGAAATTCATGTATGTTGCATATACGCCTTGTACACATACCCTGAAGGTAATTGTATACAATATTTCTGAATTTGGGCTTCAAAGTGCATGAAGCCATCAGAAAGCAGAGATGTCACTATGTCAGCCACGTACATGGACAGTTTCGTTTGGCGTCACCATCATTACTGATTCCGAATTTATATGCTACTTATAAACAATAGTTTTCTTACACTTATTCACACGTAAGTATTTAACAGTAAAAAAAATATGACATACCGCTAATACAGCGAAAAAATAATGGTGTTCAGGGTAACTAAACAATACCGGAATACTGAGGGGGCTCAAAAAGTTTTGGATTTCAGAGCTTTTCAGATTTTGGACTTTTGGATTAGGGATGCTCAACTTGTAGTGTATGAGGTTAATAAAAGTTTTCACATACAAAATACTTTCCCTCAAACATAATTATCCCTTTCCATTACCTTAAAAATTACAAATCAGGAATCAAGGTGGTACTAGTAAAGAAATTGTGTATCTTAATCAAATTGAAGTTTCTGGGAGCTCTCTCAATATTAATTTTGGATACTTGCATTTTTAGTTATGTTTTAAACTCTTACTTGAGAGACAGGAATTATATCTGAATTAGAACTAAATCTGAATTAAATATGCTTAAGTTACTGAGTTTTTACTGTCTCAGAGATGTCGGGAATGTACAGCTTACTTTCCTAGAGAAACCACTGTGGCAAGGGCAAGGTATTTGTCTTTGAGCCCAGATCCATTACCCCCATTCCCTTTTTATTCTTTTACCAGAAATGTAACTAAACGGAAGATGCAGAAAAAGGACTAACAATGGCTTCTCATGTTCATGGTTTTAGCTATATTATCAAAGCATTTTGTAGTTGATTTTTTTTAGTTGACAGAGTCACTGCTGTGAACCATGAGAAAAAAAACTGAATTGATGACTTAGTGATATTCAAAGTGATCTTTTAAACAATAATAGAGATCTGATATTTTCATGGTCAAGAAAGTTGAAGCCATCTTTCTTGGGCACTATAAAGTCAAAACTAAGGAAAGAACCAGGTTTCA